AGAATGTAGATAATTGATCATCATTTCTGAAGTAACAAAGAATCCTTGAGGCTGGGTTCTACCCAGGGATATAATTTAGGGGTTTGGGGAGCCAAATTTTTGAACCAAATTGCGAATTTCCCTGAAAGTAGTGTATGCTTGTATAATTGCTTTATTCATTTTGTTTTATAAGCAAATCTGATGTGGTTTCACTTTAAAAAAAAATTATAAAGCTACTCGTAGACTTGGAAATTGGAGAGCAAGTTTCAGTTCACTCTGCCTGGCAAATTCTTAGCCTCATCATTCTAGAGAGTGCAGTTTATACCTCTTTAAAATTCAGTTGCACTAACTTTGTATGCACGTGCATATTGAAGACCAAGTAAACTGTAAATCTAATGCAGAAATCTGCCTTAAGCAGGATTTGATTGACCAGATTCATCTGCAAGGCTGGGACATATATTTAAAGAAAGTGGCTTTACTTTTATTTTTGTTCTACATTCTATGGTATGGTTTATCTACACGATAGTTTTAAAATAAAATGCATATACACAAATGCATGTATGCATTCTATAGCACAGTTCAACCTTTCCAGCTTTGTGGACCAGGGAGAGGGAATGGTTCCGCGCGAGCAGCTGGCAACTGTGCATGCGCAGCTCCATTTGCACGAGCGGCATGCGCACGCACCTGCCGCTCACACAAATGGAGCGTGTATGTGTGTGCACTTGCCTGCTACTTGTGCAAGTGGGTGTGCGTGCGCGCTCGCCCATTTCTGCAGTTCAGTTGCAAACAACTCATGCGCCCACAGCCGCGGCCCAGAGGTTGGGGACCCCTGTTCTATAGAACTTTCTGCTCTGTACGTATTTATACTGATCAATGAAAATTTAGCACAAGTTTCTAAAATGTTCAGAAGATTAATCAAATATTTATGTAGACAAATAATTGATATATTTAGTTGACTTTTGGTCACAAAATATATAGGAAGCATTCATTAAACTCACTTAACAATTTTTCTAACCCTGGAAAATTATTTGCACTTTCTGTAGTTGCCTACGTGATTATTTAAATACTTGTTGGCAGAATCCTAAAGGTATCTCATATCTGTATCAGTACAATTTTCACTGCTCACATGTTTTGAGCAGCTAATTTGCAAGTCTTTTTCACTGTTGGCTAAACTGGTGCTAGGCTAAGATTATAACACTGCTGGTAGAAATTTTTACTTTCATAATCTGAGTCATGAATGTGAGGACTCAGGATTGCATGCAAGACTAGAATGTGGTGCTATTCTGGAAGAACTAGTTAGACTGTTGTTAATTGCTTAAACATCTGAATCACAGCCTCATCCTAGAGTGCATTACTGTCTTGATCTAAGTGATAAGGGACTATAGTATTTGAATTCCTGGAAATTTAATACTGAAATATAATTCAGATGAGAGAAAATTCTTAAGTGGCTCTTCATTGTACTTAATTTGCCTGTTCTCTGTGTAGTTTCTCCTTTCTTTGATTGTAATAATTAACTTGGTAGCTCTTAATTTTTGACTGCAGATCAGTTTCATTGAAACATTACTATTCTTGATGAAAGACTCCATAGACCTTGCATTTCATCTGTAAATATTTTAGTATTTTTTAAAATTATTTTAATCAGCACCTACTCTCTAAATTTTATGATAAAATCCCTCTTAATATAAACTTCCCTTTGGATTTTTAAATTTTCCTTTATTTTGCACTTTGAAAAACAATAAGTCATGTAAGAATTCAAGCACAATATTAACACATAGGTGCCAGAAAATAGCTCTCACAAACAGGTTTCTGGAAAATAGATTGCAAGTTCTTTGATTGGTTCAGTCAAGATTTAGAGAAGCTAAGCTGGATTGAGATTTTGCATTCAGTTTGTATGCTTGGGATGGGTTACAAGAAGAGCAGGGAATTTAACTTTCCCAGGAATGTGGAAAAAATGGTAGCTGTGCATAGTGCATAGCTTTGGGAATAAATACATTGATGTATCTCTTAACGGGGGATAAAAGATAAAGGCTTATTATTGGAATCCGAAAATGATTAAACAATGAATGCTATTGTACAGAGAGGAACTGACTTCATTCTAGGAACATGGGAAATGAATGATGGAGGCTTTGAATCTGAGCACTTCCTAGCTGGTTTTAGATGGAATTTCCAAGTTTTCTAAGTCACAGCACAATAAAAATTCCATAAAGTGTAGTATTTCTTAAGGACTGGATATTTTAATCCTTTTCCATGCAGGTGAAGACAGATGAGGTTACAGAGCTATCAGAATGGAATACTTGTGTGGGAAAAACCACTGGCACAAGCACATAGACTCACAAACCGTCTTTTTTTTAGAGATAGTATTCTAATTATGCATGATTAAAATGTATAGTGTTATAGCTATTATCAGTAAATTGATATATGCATTTATACATTATGAAGCAATAGGAACCAATATACCAATAGCTTGAATTTACTGCTTTGATTCTCAGTTTTTTTTTAGACAACATGCTGCCTCTTTAGTAAAGGGGCAAAATGTACAAAGAAGGGACGAAGCATGACGCCAAAACTGTGTATTAGAAAAAGGAATCAGTAGAATAAACCCTCTTGGCCTCTTACCAAGTTCATAGCAGCTCATGAGCCTACATAATATGAACATGGTTAATGGCAAGTTGGGTTTCTTGGTTGCTGCAGTTGTACAAACAAAAATGGTGCAGAGTTTCAGAGCGCAGAAAAGGGAATACCTAAATTCCAAATGGGGCAATAAAAATGATCTAAGCAGTTTAGGGTTTGTGGTTATTTTTAAGTAGAGATAGTAAATATATCAGAGCCTGTTGTGGCTAAAAAACAATGAGTAATTAAAATGAGTAAGCTGTCCATATTTTTCAGGTATTAATTCTTTCTAAGACAGGTGTAGCTTTTCAGGTTTTTCCCCACCACTTTGGCAGCTGGATTAAAATGAACTGGTTTGAAACCAGCAATAATGATGCATTATGAAAATTGGAAATATTTAACTATTATTCATTCAAGCTATATTTAAATAGGGGGTAGCTGTATTGACCTGCTAGACTGAGGATTGATAATACTCAATTTTGAAAAATTGGTGTAGCAGAACATGTAGATAATAGAAATATTATAGCAGCATATCTGTTGCAGCAAAGTCTGTGTTGGCACACACTTTTCCTATTAAGATGTGCTAAAAAAAGAAATCTCAACTTTGAATCTTTAATTATACTAGTTTGCAAAAAGGCAGTCTTAGCTTATCTGAAACTAGTGTATCTCAAAGTTTGATCTGTTGTCTAGGTATAAACATTTGTTAAGGTATATTTATGCATTTTTTGTTTTTTGTAACTTTCCCAGTTATACATATTTCCAACCATATTTTTCTGAACATTCTTTGCCGGCAATGAGTAACTTCATATTACTAGATCTATTGAAGCTGTGATTGAAGTATTGCAAACAATTTTAACAACTGAAATAAACAGTTTCTCATTTCTAACTTTTTTTCCTCCAAAATTGACTTTTCTTACAGATTGTTTGCAGGTATTTCAGCTAAAGAGTAGGATTTAAGACTGGGCTACTAAATGGATATACTTTTTTCAAAATAAAATGTTATTCTAGTGTTTGAAAACTGGGAAGAATGGGTAGCAAAAGTTCAGTCTTGAAGATAACCTACAAAGGTTATCTCTTTTACTAAGAGATAAACTCATCTGGATAAGAAAAGACAAGAAAGAGGCTACATATAATCTACTCCCTTATATTCATTAAGTATCAATATGAACAATTTGTCTATGTATATATCTAATATTTTCCAGATGGCAGCTTGCTTTTATATCTATGCATATTTGGGGAAGGGAAAGAATGTGTTAAATGTATTCTTTTGACACTGTAAACAATAATTGTTGAAAAATGAGCTTTGAAACTCTGCACCTGTATATAATTTTTTAGCAATAAAGCAGCATGAGCTGAGAATGCACTAAAATGTCTGTGTCATTTCTTTCTAGAAACACACAATTAAATGTACAAAATCCTCTTGCTTCCCTTCAGTATATAAGGGAATGTGTTTATGTTAAAGAATCATTGAGTTGTATATTTTAAACTTGGTCAGATGTTCTTGTGTGTATTTTATGTACAAATACAGAAATGTTATTCCTAACATATAAGTTAACCTGAAGTAAAAACTGATGGTTATCAAAAGAAAGAATAGCTCCAGACTGCCTCATCTTCATGAGAGACAAGCTTCTGAAAGTTCACAAAAAGCAGAAGAAAATGGCAAGAGTTTGTTGCCAAAAATTGGTTATCTAAAGATAACTATTACATAATCATTACAATTATTCAGAGCTCCTATATTCATTGGAGTAACGGTTTTTACTTCCAAACTATGCAGCAATAAGTGAATTACCTCAGTGTGTTCTGCAGAAATACTCCAAGCATTTGTTTCTACTGACTAGATTGATATTGATCAATTTGACTCAAAGGAAACATTTTTTTATATTTTGCTGATACAAATCCTATGCATACTTCCTGAAATTTTTTTGCTACAGTCACTGCAACCTATATCTCAATCTTGAAAGTACAATAACTAGGAAATTGAGTTTTCTGGCCCCAAGCCTTCTGACAAAAGGAAAACACAATGAACAGATTACAATGCACATTAGTGATTTTGTAAGAGTTTCCCCATAATCAAATGTTTCTAATAAAATGCTAATCTGATATTTCAAATGTTTTATTTTTTGACCAATTTTAATGTTACTGAACACAATTTATAGCTGAGTCCTGAGGCAACGTATCTTTCTCTAGAGTCTAGACTATCCAGTTTCCAATATGTTCACAATGCAATCTTGGGATGGTTATTTAATGTTTTAAGATTTTTGTGAGAGTATATAGAAATATCTACACGTAGGAGTTAAATGATTTGAGATAGCTGTTCATGCTCAAACACTATATGCCCTTGAATGCGTTAGGAAGGGAAACTTATCACCAATTTGCCAGTGTAAAGCCATTTTAATTTACATTTTCAATTACAAACACAAGTAATTGTAAAAACAATTAGTTGAGATAGGTAACTCTAAAAAGTTAATCGTTCAGCTTTATATTTGTACATTCATACGGTCTTCCTTTACAGTTCTCCTTTTCGGATGTAATCTTTTGTTGATTGAATTCTTCTAGTTTCTTAATTAGCAAGTCCATGCGCACGTGAACTTTTATAAGACTCTCTTTTAACTACAAACAAAAAAATAAGTGTAAATAGAACGTATCACAGAATATCAAGCAATCTTGACTTTTTACAAATACTTTTAAAATGACTAATGTTATGTTGCAACTTAAAAATATTCATATAAGCCAGTGGTTCTCAACCTTTTTAATGGCACGACCCCCAACCGGTCGTAAGTCAAGGACTAAACCGGTCGTAAGTCGAGGACTAAACCAGTCATAAATCGAGGACTACCCAACCGGTCGTAAGTCGAGGACTTTCCCTGCCCGGGAGCGCCACGTATGCGTGGTTCTGCCCCCTGTGCCGGCCAAGGCGTAGCTGGCAAGCGGCAGAGACAGAGCAGGCTGACCACCAGCTGGCCCAGCTCAAGGGAGGTAAGGCACCCGCTGGAAAAGGGAAAAAAATGGCAGACAGCCTTGCTTGGCGCCCCTTCGTGAAATGGTCGATCGACCCCAAATGGGGTCGCGACCCATAGGTTGAGAACCGCTGATATAAGCAGTAATGCAGAAACGGAATCCTTTCTTTTAATACCTTCAGTATTCAACTGCATAATAGGTAGCATGAGAATTTTAGTGTTAAAGGCTAATTTGGTAAACTGAAACGGCTGAGCAACATCTGAGAGGAATGGAATTCAGCCATCTACTTTTCTAGGGTCATTCACTGAAGCAGTTACTAAAAAAGGCCTGTTTGCCCTGCCAAAGTGTTAATGGTTGGGAAAGGAAGTGAGAATCCTCTGGGAAGCACATCATTCTTTTTTCCATCCTTAGTCCATCGGAATCAGTCTTTAATTTGGGGATGGAGGTGAATTGTGCCACCATTTCATAAACATTTGCCAAAACACTTCAACTGAAAGAATGTAAATGGGCCCAAAGGCTTTCCAATCCTGAACTAACATTATGATTCATATTATAGTTACACAAGAATCTTTAGATCAGTGGTTCTCAACCTTTTTAATGCTGCGACCCCAACCGGTCGTAAGTCGAGGACTAAACCGGTCATAAGTCGAGGACTAAACCGGTCGTAAGTCGAGGAGTACCCAACCGGTCGTAAGTCGAGGACTTTCCCTGCCCGGGAGCGCCCCACATGCGTGGTTCTGCGCCGGCAGAGGCGTAGCTGGCAAGCGGCAGAGACAGAGCAGGCCGACCACCAGCTGGCCCAGCCCAAGGGAGGTAAGGCACCCGCCGGAAAAGGGAAAAAAATGGCGGACAAAAAAAATGATGGACAGCCTTGCTTGGCGACCCCCATGAAATGGTCGATCGACCCCAAATGGGGTCCCGACCCACAGGTTGAGAACCACTGCTTTAGATAGTGGACATTGCATGGAAAAGTAAACAGTTGATTTGCCATAAAATCACAATTAGCTAGGTAAGCCTGGCTTGTTTCAACATGATCCATGCCGTTTGAGATCCACTGTAGCACAATCTTTTCCCACTAAATTTTGGGTTGTTGTTTTTTTTTGTTTTGGTAATGCTGACATATTTACACATGGAACAGTTTCCGCTCTGTCAGAGTTGGTGGCAAACCCCAAAGAAAATAAGGAGACCAGAGTGCCTTGTATTCCTTATAATAAGGCATGGTATAAATATAAATCAAATAAATACAAATCCAATCCATACCAATATAAATTAAAAAAAATTAAAGCCAGAAAACACTTACTTTCTCTACATGTTCCTTTAGGCTCACAACAGGACAGGTTACTTCTGAAGCTTCTACTGTAGCGGTAGTTTGTAGCAAGTAACTAAAACCAATGTTTTAATATTGACTCATTAAATAGAAAATGAACAGTTTACAGTGCGTAACTCAGCCTGCCCCAAGATGGTTTGTAAGCGAGTGGACAAAGAATGGAAACAGTCATTGCAATAGTAAAATCTTTTCACAATACTAGACTTCAAGAACCTTACTATGTCCTGAACATGGTTTTCTAAGCTTTATCAAATTTAGCAAGATTTAGCAAGATATAAACATTTCATCTAGATTTAAAAAAAACTATAAAATATGAATGTTAAAAAGATCTATTCAGACCTATTCATTGGTATCTAATCATTGAACAACAGTATCGTTTATATGAAAAAAAACCAAGATACTTTACCAGTATACGCCCTCAGCTTACAGCTGGTTTAGCAAGATATACCGTATATACTCGAGTATAAGTCGACCCGAGTATAAGCCGAGGGACCGATTTTCCCACAGAGAACTGGGAAAAATTGGTGACCCGCGCATAAGCCGAGGGGGCATTTTGGCTGTTCCTCCCTGGCCGCCGCCCCACCNGTATTTCACTTTAAATGACCATATATAGTATTTTAAGTCCTAATTAATTATATACATCTTTACTCTGATGCTAAGGGAAACAAAAGCCCTGCTTTTGAAATTGATTGATGACTATTGCTTTGCATGATGTTGCAGACATTTCCAAATCCTTGCCCTGAGTGGCTAGAGTGTTGGATATGGATCTGATAGATCAAATTCAAATGTCTGCTCAGTGGTTAAGATCTGGAGGTGATTCTGGACTTGTAACTATAACAGCCTAACTGTAATTCTGCTTAAGGGAAGGTGCATACCAGATTCCTAGAGGGACTTTCTCGGATAAAATGGAAATAGAAATAGAATGAACTTAGCTTCAAGAAGCAAAAACAAAGTTTAAGGCATCTTGTACATAATCATACATAAGATAAAAGTTAACAGTTTTCCCAACTTAAATTTAGTATAAAAACTAGAACATAGAAAGATGGCTATGGTTAAAGTGCTAATCCCTGAGCCAGAAGAGAAATACATTGGCATAACATTTTCTGACTGCTGAGCCATATTCTGTCACAGTAAGGAACCGGCAACTGAAGCAGTCTTAACTGTTTTAAGTAAAGTGTTTGGTAAATTCTCTAAATTGTACTGCCCCGTCTAGCAAGAACCCACTGCTATCAGAGAAATCAGCAGCTGCCATCCTTAAATGTGGAGAAGGGTTAGGTGACCGCAGAGAATTCTTGAAATGGCACATTCAGTTATCTGATTAACAAGCTGCAGGTACATAGGTGCTCTGAGTTTGTGACCTATTAATGCAGACTAATCCTGAATATAAATCTAATGCTTTTTTTGAGAGAGCATTTAGCTGACAGGTCGCAGGCATAAAGTAGGGACACAAGGTAAAGTAGAAAGAAGTAACGTAATTGACAACGTGGGGTTTATCCTTACTAGCACTATAAGGAAATGGAAAGGCTGGTAACAAGTCCAATTGTGAATGGTGGCACAAGGAAATAGCCTGTGAAGCCATAAAGCTAAAATGGCACTGTCCCATCCACAAAGTAATAAAAGCGGAAGTGCAAGCACATGAAACCCGCTGTTA